ATCAGTTCCATTGTAATTCTAGTCATTTTTTTAGTTTTCTGTCGCTTTTCATTTGCCTTTTTGCGATTCGTGATTAATAAAAATAATAAAATTTTACTTACGAATTAAAATCAGAAGAAATTTAACAAAGTTATAAACCGTTGCACCGCGAACGTCTAGTCTGGTCTAGTACACCGATAGTGCTACTTGTTCATTGATGGCGCGTATAATTGAATTATGTCGTATACCGAACAAAAGTCGTATACCGAGCAAAATTTGTTTCGTCCAAACAGGACGTATTCCGAATTGGACGTATTCTAAAGCAGACGTATACCGAGGTACTACTGTACTCAATAGTTTCAGTGAACCAATGAGCAATGCCGGTTGGAGCATAAGCTTCTAATAGGGTCTCCAGGGAAAAATGAAGTAAAGAATGCGAGACTCACAAGCAGCGAGTGTTCTACACGCCAGGATCTGGCTTTATGTACACAAGCATACTCACTTATACGGAGATAACAAAAAATAATTGTTAGACTTCACAACATGGCTCGGATATAGCCCGAGTTAACAACGGACACGTCAGTGTGTTAGGTAGAAATTTATGTTTGAAATCTCAGTCACAGTGCGTAATAACCTTATTCCATAAACAATGTTTGAACATTTCAAACAACAAGTTGCGGAGAAAAAGAATAAATTCATCAACATCTACAGATATTTGATCATACGAATGATCAGTCAAGACATTTACTGACAACAGGCCAACAAACAGGAAGACGTAGACAGCATAATATGCACCAATGAAAAGAAACACAACAATTACAAACGGCGACGCAGTATTCACACACTGATTAAATTTATTCATTAAATATAGAATAAATATAGCCTATATTTAATTTTAAAAAATTCATTAAATATAGGCTCTGTTGCTATTACAGAAAATACCAACATGCGAAATAATTTTGGATCATTTAGTACCAACGTACAAAATGATCCAAAAGTTATTTAACACTTATAAAATAGGACTGAGTAACACAGGAAATTTTGACATGATAGAAACATGTTACAACTAGAGGAACCATCTTTCCGTATGTCAGACTGCGCATCTCGAATTCACCTATGTTTAAACATTTCAGATGAATAATTTCCCATTTAATTACTGGGTCTTCATATGAGACTATAATTTCAAGAGAAATGCAATGCTTCACTTGTTTACCTAACTTTAATCTGTCAAAAGTTATAAAGAAACGAATCTAATCAATTTCTCCTTTTGCAACTGTGATAAGACAACGCTGGAATACCTGCAATGGACGAGCTATGAATCCAGATCATCCTGATGCAGGAAGAGAAAGATCAAGTGACATTTAAGTCGTGGTTTATCTTTGACTGATCCATGTAGCACTTTGCAATTGCCACACACAACACACGGTCTCTATGGAAATGTCATTGATCATTTGCAATGCCACAAAAACCGCCACCATCGAGCTGAAAAAAGCAGGTTGGCTGTTTCCACGAAATACCCGCAATCTAAAGCTTTCTAACCTGACTGTGATCAGATGTTAGAGTGTGAGGATTTGTCTGGGAACATATACAGAATGAGAAGGATCTGGACGCACAATTAGAAGATTAGCAGATTGATAATAACATTTATGACAACCGCATCTTATGCTTCCTTTGCATTGGTGTGATGACTGAAAAGCATGCACTGTTACAAACTGGCAGCTCTAGCGATGAAACTCGATTATGTTTCAATCGGACGACCAGTGTATGTTTTGAGAACTATTGGTGACAGTTAAATCTTACCTTAATATTTAGTGTCATATTGCTTTTCTGACGGCGTGCTGATCTGGAGAGTAATATGATATTGTAATAACTTATTACTAATGTCAGTACTTTCTCATTAATAAAGTTTCAGTTCATTTCAATTTATCCTTGGTGAATTTTTTGCCAATGAATATATGGATATTTTGTTGTGTTTTGTTTAGCTTGTGCTTAAATTTTGTATGCATTCATTCAAAGTAAAATTTGTTATAATAAAGCTTTGTTTTATATTTAAAACTTGAATTTAATTTATTGAATAATTATGTAAAAATATCAGTAAAATGCATTGCAAGAAAATACATAAAAAATCATTTTCATAACCGAAATTGTAGAGTCCGGGAATTTCAGAAATTTGAAATGTGTATATATATATATATGAATTCACGAATTTCAATTACATTTAACATATTTTGAGTTTTGCGTGTATTTTATGATTTAACATCAAGTTTTGTAAATTCGGATAATAGTTTTAATCTATAATAATGCATAATTTCTGTTTGTTTACTGAATTTTAATTCGATACATAGGGGAGACCACAGTATTAATTATGATTTTTTAAATACATTTATATCAATATTTGATTCACTATTTCAACCATACGTAATGAGTTTGGTTTTACAGAAATACAAAATCTCTTATTGGCATTGAAAATTTTACATATCTTATATGAAACTTATTTCTGAATGACCTTATATTCTATTTTATTAGTTAATTATGAAGAAAAAACTGAGAGCATATTATGACAGATGGAAAAAACCTAATGATAAAAAAGGATTTTTGTTTCTATGGTGTTTATTATAAAGTCCATCTGTGTTCTAAATATCTAAATAGTAGTTTATATATATAT